TTTTTTTCATATATTTTTTGACCATATTTCTTCATTTGGGAAGTGTCTATTTAGTTCCTTTGTCCATTTATTGATTGGGTTATTATTTTTTTTTTGGTGTTAAGTTTCTTGAGTTCTTTTTATATCCTGGAAATTAATGCCCTGAGGTGCATGTGGCAAAGATTTTGTCCCATTCTGTAGGCTCTCTCCTCATGGTCTTGATTGTTTCCTTTGTTGTGAAGAAGATTTTTTTTTTATCCACCTCATTTTTTTTTTTGTTTTTACTTCTTGCACTTTAGGAGTCTCTTTTAGGAAGTCAGTTTCTGAGCTGATATGAGTAGGTGCCAGGTTTCTTGTAAAGAACACCATTTCTAAATCCACAAGATTAAATTTGTGGAAAATACTGTAGGTTCAAAGAGACAAAGCTATTAAAGGAGAATTTTAAAAGCATAGTAGCTAATCTGCCAGACATGGTACTCCATGCCTATAATACCAGCAGTGTGGGAGAATGAGGCAGAAGGATTGTAAGTTGGAGGCTAGGCTGGGCAATTCAGTGAGACCCTGTCTCAAAATAAAAAAGGCTAAGGATGTAGCTCAGTGGTAGAACACTTGGTTCAATCCTCGGTACTGCATGAAAGAACAACAACAAAAGCAAACCTATAGTCACAAGCCAAGTGTAAATATGTATTTCAGGACAACTGAGAAAATATAAATGACTATGGGGATTACTTTTTTTTCCTTCTTGTACTGGGGATTGAACCCAGGGTCTTGCGTATACTGAGCAGGTAATCGACCTGTAAGCAACATCCCCGGTCCAGGTCCTGAAATAGTTGTTAGGTAATACTGAACGATTATTAGTTTTATTAGATGTGATAGTAATATTAAAGAATATGTCTATAATTTGAAGTACCACGGCAAATGATACCGATAAAGCTAATATGGAAAATATGAATGTTAAGGTGATGCATATATAGCTGTTCTTTATACTTTCTATTCTAATACACACTTAAAAGTTTAGGGAAAAATTTATAAATGGTTGCTTACTGGGTGTGCAAAATTAATTCATGCTTGTAATGCATACTTTAATTATTTCACTGTAGCCTCAGTTCATTTATTTAGCAAACGAAAGGTATAGATTGTTTTGTCCCTCTATTCCTGAGATTCTAAACAAAGACCATAACGCAAATACCAATGGATGCCGAACAGGTAATTCAAATTAGTGATCTGGTGAAATGTTTGCTGGTCTCAAGGGGGCATTTTCCAGGGGAATATTGCCTGTTGATGAAATGGGCTCTGCCATCTAGCCTTAGCTCAGAGAAGGACATACAGATTTTTATGTGAAATTC